CTAGCTCCCCAGCCGCAAAATTCAAGCCAAACACCATCAAAAGAAATTCAATAATTCTTTAGGAAGTGATCCCAATCCATAAAGTTTCGATCTTTGAAGAAATCCCTATAAGTCCACAAAAGTCAACCTGTTACACCCCGTAGTGTTACGTCGAATCGTGTCGTTGATAAATCTTAGTGTTATGGGAGGGTATGGAACCTTGTATAAGGATATCAAAGGTTTAAAACACGTTTAAGGAAGTATCGGGAAGTGTAGAAGTCAAACGAGTCGAAGAAAATACAGACCGTATCTTGGCTGACCTATACGTTAATCCTTACATAGTTATGGCACTACTAAATTATATTATGTAATAATTTATATAGTAAAGGGAGAGTAAATATAGTATTATTAAGTCCAGCAAGATAGCATGTGGGTTATACACATATAGTATTCTAAATACATCATATAGATAAGAATGAAAAAGGTAATCTCTAAGTGGGTTTTACCTAACTTTGTTTATGTATCTAGATACTTTCGGGATGAACATTGAATTAAATAAGTAGGCCACCCCTCCTATTTAACTACCCTTATATGTATTCAAGGTTATCTATGTCTTGTCTAGTTGAATTGAAAAAGCTGACCAGGGAGACCAAGGTTTAACTCCATTGATGAAGTGTTGTAGTTGTTGAACTGTTTTGAGTTGTTTCTTGAGGTATCCTATATCTGGAAATTGTGAAGTATAGTTGTTTGTGATGGTGGTTTTGTTGTGAGTAGAGGAGAAGAGCTAGTAGTGTTGATTTGCCATTGTACGATGATATGAAGCTTATGCACTCTAAGTATTCGACAAAATATTGTAGTGATCCAATTCTTGGTTTATCGATTTGATTGTGATTCAAACCATTTATACAATGTAGAGTATCATTCGTTAAGCGTACTAGAACTCGTGAGCTATTTCTAGCTGAGCAACAAAGGTATGTAACGCTATCCCTTCCTTTCAAAGCATGACTTTGAGTTATATGTACATTCATGTCGGTATCCAAAAGAAATTTGTCTTGTAAAGTGTACTCTTCTCTTGGGTTGATGGTCCCTTGTCGGGATTCACTCTTGTATCATATCGTATCTTGGTTAACTAAGTCTCTGGAGCTCCAAATTCCTCCAAAAAGGAGCGCTCTAAAAGCGTTATTTGTTGAGTCGACTACAAGTCGTTTAAAAGCCAAAAATAAGCGTTCTAGAAGTTAGAGGGCCAAGGTGACATTACTACTATAGTATATCTATGACAAACACCACTGAGTTATAATTGTTCAGGCAAGGAAGTATAAACACCCCAGACTATTACCGGAGGGCAAGAAAGTATATATAAGAAACTCAGGCTATAACCGGAGGGCAAGAAAGTATATATAAGAACCTCATGCCATAATCGGAGGGCAAGAAAGTATAATAATAACCCGGGCTATAACTGGAGGGTAAGGAAGTATGTATGTAAGTATGCATAAAAGTATGTATACGAGTTCTAGTACAGTTTCAAGTTTCATTATTCACCCTGAGTGGCTTACATGTTATCAAGTTATCAGGTTGCCTCTTATGCCCTGGTTATGGATTACTCTTTCATATTGCTTTTCATGCTTCATATACCAAAATATTTCATTCGTATTGACATCCCTTTTGCCGCAGAAACTATATTTCATGTTGCAGGTTCAGGTAAGAACTGGTTAAATTTAGCTATTGGATGGTAAGCTTCGCTTCTTCTGGAGTTACCGAGTCGGATGTTTCGACTATATGACATTTATGTTGATCTTAGAGGCTTGTAGACTTAGTTGGATTGTCTAAATGTTGTGTATGGCCTTATCGTCCTTGTTGTTGGTCTGTTAACCTGTGTTGTGGCCTTGTCAGCTTTGTATATATGTATATATGTTTTGGGTTGTCTACCCCTTTCAAATTGAGATGTCCAGATGACATTCCAGTTGCACAGATTGTGTCCTTGTTGGCCTTATATGTATGTTGATTGTATCTCCATACACATTATGATTTGTTGAGGCCTTGTCGGCCAAAGTTTCTATATGTTCATGTGGTTTGTTTAGAGTGGTACGCTCGGAAAAGTGAGGCACCAAGTGCCAGCCACACCCCCCCCCAGGTTGGGGTGTGATAAATTTGGTATCAGAGCAAGTCAGTCCTAGGGAGTCTACAAGCTGTGTCTAGTAGAGTGTTTCCTATGGGTGTGTTGTGAACCACACTTATAAACAAGAGGCTACCTGGCATTTAGGGATGGTTACTATTCTTTCATCTCATAGATCGTGCAATAGAGCTGAGTTCTAAGGAATTCGAGTATAACTCATGGTTTATACATTTTATCGATGCTGGTTACTATAAAGACTACCGCTAGTTGTTGAACCTGTGCGGATGCGAGCGAAGGCACTAGTAATGCCCCACTTAGCCATGTATATAGATCTGAGGCGCAGAGAGAGTCACCTTATCTTGTATCTCCTGCTCCGCCACCACTCAAGGATATTAGATGGGATACAATACCCCCAGCTCCTCAGGACCTAGTCCCTCAATTTCTTCCATTTGAGCCTGCAAATCAAGGGGTGGCAGGTGCAGTACAGTTGGTAACACAAATAGTAGCTACTCAGTAGCAACAAATTAGGGCATCAAAATGTGTTAGCCCTTCTGATAGTGCGGGGAGTTCTAGAGTCTGAGAGTTCATCGGTTTGAGTCCTCAAGAATTTACAGGTTCTGATCTAGATGAGGATCCTTAAGACTTCATTGACCTGCTCCAGAGTGTATTGAGAGTTATGCATCCTTCAGGGATCGAGGTAGTGGAGTTGGCATCTTATGGTATCCTTCAGGGATCGAGATGTGGCCATTTTATGGTATGAGACTTGGGAGCGGTCCAGCGGATCAGATGCACCTCCAGCTGTATGGAAGGAGTTTTCAGAGGCCTTTCTTGATCACTAATTTCCATTAGAGGTATGAGAGGTTATGGTAGATCGGTTCTTGGGCCTCAAGCAGAGAGGTATGAGTGTTCGAGAGTATAGTCTTCGGTTTGACTCTTTGGCCAGGCATGCTCCAACTATTGTGGATACGATGAGAGCTAGAATTCATCGATTCGTGGTAGGTCTTGACCCATATCTAATTGGGGATTGTACGACAACCTCCTTGAATGAGAATATGGATATCTCCAGAATACAAGCATATGCTCAGAACGTAGAGGGTCGTAAGCGCTAGTTTCAGGCTGATAGAGATGCATAGAGAGAATTGAGTAAGAGGGCTAGGTCTGCCAGGTCTTTTGGAGAGGCATATAGTGGTTCCAGACCACGACTTCCTAGACATCTACCCCAATTTCTTGGTAGTGCTCCACCTTAGTTTCAGGAGACCAGGTATGAAAGGTATGCAAAGTTTGGGTCAGGCCAGAGCTTGAGGGCTTCAGGTTTCCAGAGACAAGAGGGTTTGACTCAGATAAGACCTCCATACTGTCCGAGTAGTGCGGGTAAGAGTTGCGGATGCAGAATCCCCAACCCTTCAGTCTATCCTTGTGGTTAATGAGTTCCCATATGTATTTCTGGATGAGCTTCCAGGTATACCTCCACAAATAGAGATTGACTTTGGTATCGACGTGCTTCTAGGCGGTAAGCCGATATCTATCCCTTCTTATATAATGACTCCTGCCGAGCTCAGGGAGTTGAAAGAGCAGCTTAGAGATTTATTAAAGAAAGGCTTCATTAGGCCTAGTACTTCATCGTGGGGTGCACCAGTGTTGTTGGTTTGCAAGAAAGATGGGTCTTTGAGAATGTGCATTAATTATCGGCAGTTGAGTAAAGCTAATATCAAGAATATGTATCCACTAGTTGAGGGTGAAGGAGAAGGATATTCCGAAGACAACTTTCATGACCATGTATGGTCACTTTCTTGTGATGTCGTTCGGACTTACTTACGCACCAAAAACCTTCATGGACTTGATGAACTGGGTCTTAGATCCGTTCTTGGATATCATTGTGATTGTATTCATTGATGATATTCTTGTATACTCGTGTGCTAAGGCAGATCATGCGAATCATTTGCAAGAGGTGTTACAGACGCTCCGAGATCATGAGTTGTATGCCAAGTTATCCAAGTGTGCGTTCTGGATTAACTCATTTGCATTTCTGGGCCAAATAGTTTCAGACAAAGGTATCAAGGTGGATAGTTAGAATATTGAAGCGGTAAATAATTGGCCGAGGCCCACGACTCCTATATAGGTTTGTAGTTTCTTGGGTTAGCAGGTCATTATCGGAAGTTTGTAGAAGGCTTTTCTTCTATTTCTATACCTATGAAAAGCTTACTCACAAGACGAACAAGTTTCAGTGGTCAGATGCATGGGAACAGAGTTTTCAAGAATTGAAAGATAAACCTATGACAACGCCAGTCTTAACACTTCCAGAAGGTACAAAAGGTTATGTTATTTATTGTGCTGCTTCGAGGGTTGGCCTAGGCTGTGTTCTAATGCAGCACGACAAGGTTATTGCATATGCTTCGAGATAGTTGAGGAAGCACAAGCAGAATTATCCGACTCATGACCTTGAGTTAGCAGCCGTTGTGTTTGCTTTGAAGATATGGCGACATTGCTTATATGGAATTCATGTTGATTTGTTTATCAACCATAAGAGTCTTCAATATATATATATTCAGGCAGAAATAGTTGAATCTGAGGCAGAGAAGATGGCTTGAGCTGTTGAAAGACTATGATGTCAACATCTTATATCATCCCGAAAAGGCTAATATTGTAGCCGACGCTTTGAGTCGTAAGTCCATGGGTAGTTTGAGTCATGTAGAAGCTGACAAGTTAGAGATGACAAGATATTTGTGTCGGTTAGCCAGTTTGAGAGTAAGATTACTTGATATAGATGACAGAGGTGTTGTGGTTCAGAATACTGCAGAGTCATCATTGATAGCAGAAGTGAAAGCATAATAGTTTGACGATCTTGAATTAGTGAGAATGAGGGAAGGAATCCCACAGTAGATAAAGCCGATGTTAGAGTTAACGAAAGATGGGGTTCTTAGATACTGAGGCCATTTGTGTGTGCGAGATATATAAGGGGCTTCTAAGAGCAGATTATGGCAGAGATTCACTAGTCATGATATTCTATTCACCCTGGATTGACAAAGATGTATCATGACCTCAGAGGGGTCTACTGGTGGAATGATATGAAAAGAAATATTACAAAGATTGTGGCTCAATGTCCGAATTTCCAGCAGGTTAAGAGAGCACCAGAAACCCGGAGGATTAGTTCAAAACATAGAAGTTCCAACATAGAAATGGGAGATGATCAATATGGATTTATTATAGGTTTGCCTCGTTCCTATCAGAAGTTTGATTCTATTTGGGTAATTGTTGACATGCTTACGAAGTCATCTCATTTTCTACCTGTTAGAACCACTTATGCGGCTGAAGATTATGCCAGGTTATATATAAATGAGATAGTTCGACTTCATGGAGTTCTGATTTCTATCGTATATGACAGAGGATCCCAGTTTATGGCTAACTTCTGGAGATCCTTTCAGAGCAGTTTGGGTACTTAAGTGAACCTCAGTACGACATTTTATTCGAGACAAATGGTCAAGCCGAGTGCACTATTCAGATGCTTGAGGACATGTTGCAGGCTTATGTGTGGGATTTCAAGGGTAGTTGGGATGATCATTTGCCTCTTATTGAGTTTGCATACAATAATAGTTATCATTCCAATATATAGATAGCTCCATATGAAGGCTTATATGGGCGGAAGTGTAGGTCCCCGATTGGCTGGTTTGAAGTAGGCTAAAATGAGTTATTAGGTCCTGATTTGGTACAACAAGCCATAGAAAAGGTAAAGTTGATTCAAGAACGACTATTGACAACCCAGAGTAGGAAGAAGTCTTATTTAGATGTACAGCGCCGAGATTTAGAATTTTCTGTTGACGATTGGGTATTCTTAAAGGTTTCGCCTATGAAAGGCGTAATGAGATATGGCAAGAAAGGCAAACTTAATCTCAGGTACGTCAAGTAGCATATGATCTTGAGTTACCTCCTGAGTTAGAAGCAGTCCATCTAATTTTCCATGTATCTATACTACAAAAGTGTATAGGAGATCCCTCTCACATTACCCCGGTAGAAGATGTTCAGATTACAGAAGATCTGTGTTATGAAGAGATTCCAGTTGCTATTCTAGATAGCCAAGTCCAGAAGTTACGAACTAAAGAAATAGCCCCCGTTAAGGTGTTATGGCGAAATAATAATGTAGAGGAAATAACATGGGAGGCCGAGGAAGACATGAAGTCAAGATACCCTCATCTATTCCCGATTAAAGGTTTACATTGATACTCGTGTGATATGTTTCCTTTATCTATACTCTTTGATGGTGAACTCATCTTATGTACCTTGTTTAGGTGACGATCATAACAAGAATGCGATTGACGCAGCCCAAACTACAAGTCTAAACACTTGAGGTGAGTTATACATTATTATATAGATCCCTTGATAGTAGACGGTCATGTGAGGCCGATGTCATGGTGTATGTTATGTTGTTTGGTCCTGTGAGGCATGTATTGTATTTTCTAGCTGCATGGCAGGTTTTAGTTAATCCTATTTACAGAGGATACTCTGTCGAAATTTTCATCGAATCCTCAAAGTTACACTCCTTAGCATACTACCTCCACATTCGAGGATGAATGTTCTTAAGGGGGGAAGGATGTTACACCTCATAGTGTTAGGTGAATTAGGTCATTGATAGACCTTAGTGTTATGGGAAGGTGTGGAACCTTGTATAAGGATAACAATGGTTTAAAACAAGTTTAAGGAAGTATCGGGAAGTGTTGAAGTCAAACAAGTCGAAGAATATACGGATCGTATTTTGGCTGACCTATATGTTAATCCATACTAGTTTTGGCACTACTAAATTATATTATATAATACTTTATATAGTAAAGGGAGAGTAAATATAGTTTTATTAAGTCCAGCAAGATAGCATGCTGGATATACACATATAGTATTCTGAATACATCATATAGATAAGAATGGAAAAGGTAATCTCTAACTGGGTTTTACCTAACTTTGTCTTACGTATCTACATACTTTTGGGATAAACATTGAATTAAATAAGTGGACCACCCATCCTATTTAACTTAGTCTTGCAGCAATCTAATTATTACTATATATATAGCATGTATATGATTGCAAGTAGAACAACTAGGGAAATTAGAGAAAACATAGTTGCTGCTACGTTTTGGCTTCAAAGTTGCTGCCATCTTTTTAGCTTCATAGTTGATGCCATGTTCTTAGTTTCATAGTTGCTACCATGCTCTTAGCTTCATAGGTGCTGCTACGTTCTTTCTGCTTGAGGTAAGATGTAACTACCCCTATATGTATTCAAGGTCGTCTATCTCTTGTCTAGTTGAATTGAGAAAGGTGACTAGGGAGACTAAGGTTTAACAACATTGATGAAGTGTTGTAGTTGTTGAACAGTTTTGTCACGACCCAAACTGATGGGCCGTGACGAATGCCCGAGTTCTACCTATCGAACAACCCTAAGCATATGTCTAATATATAAACATGAAATAAGTGTAGGTCATTCATAACGTCTGGAAATAAACTTCTGATTTATATGAACAACATACGTAGAAAAATATGCCCAAAAGACACACACACACACACACACACACACACACACACANTTTAAATGATGGGATTGGGCCCCGTCATATCCATATGTATACAAAAGTATCGTACCAAAACTCAATAGCATCTCTGGATCAAATGGAGCATACCAACTCTCGTTGAGCAAGGATCCTAAGATGGAGAACCGTCAGCCTGTCTACCTGTACCTGCGGGCATGAAACATAGGCCCCCAGGCAATAGGGGCGTCAGTACAAATAATATACTGAGTATGTAAGACATAAAAATAAGTATATAAAAGACATAAAAGAAACATGGAGTAAAGGACTCAACCTGTAAGTCTGAATAGCTCTGTGAATCATGAAACAATTATAATGTCATGTATATGCATATAAATGTCATATCATGAATAGGTATATGCGTACATAACATCATCAAGACTCTGAGGGCATCCCATCATATCATCTCAGCATCTATGGGATAAATCATAAACGTATACCAGCTGATCAGGTGGTTTCCCCATACCCCATATACATATACTATATGCGTATATAATGCCATCTGATTATGGGTCAATATACATGTATAAATGGATGCAATGCATAATGAAGTAAGTCAACAAGATCTCTCGAAATGTCATGAGACCCAGGAACAGACGATATGATAGTAGGACATACGGGGAATCCAGAACATAGGCAACCCTAGTACGTCTAAGAATAGAATCATTTATGAACATTGTGTGCTTGCTCGTTTTGTTTGTATCATATGGATCATGCCAAAAGGAAAGAAGGGATAGCCTTAACATACATCAAGTCATCAATGCAACTCAACAACAAGCTTATGGCAACTAGTGTGCCAACCCTATAACAAAAAAATATATGAATAACTTAGATGGCGCTAGTATATCACGTATCTCAAACGATAACTCGATTCTAAAATAAAACGGGCAGCATTTCCCCTGATTTTACTGCTCCCTAAAGCCTACTATAGGAGAGATACAAACATAATATAATCAGCAACTCAAAAACATGCCAACTACAATTCGGAACCTTCAATACAACAAAACCCTACCACATGTGGCATTTCTCCACGCCCTTTTATCCTTCTAAATTCCATAAATCAACAGCACAATAGGCCAACACGAGTGGACTACAAAACAGTCCACTAAAAGTAAAATAAATCGAACTTACGGCTTCCAATCACCGTCCCGTGAGTTCTAACTATTAGGAAATGAATTTATCAACCTTCATTGATTTTTAAAGCTTAAATACAGAAATTAAACATTTTCTTAAGTATAAAGTACCTTCAAAAACTCAAACTACAAAGAAAAAGAGAGGCGATATAGCGATACTTATGTCATAGGGATCATTCAAATGTTATCGCTTCTTGATTTCGTACCCGGGATGTTAATCTTCTTTGAAATCCTATAAGAGAGCTTATGGATATGTTTATTGATGTTATAAAGTCTTGTTCGGCCTAAGACCTATATATATCAAGTTTGAAAAAGTCAAAGAGGTGCTAGCTTGGTACCCTAGCATTGGCCCATCTTCCGACGCTTATATCTTTTTTTCCGGATATCGTATGAATGAACAGTTAAGGGAGTTGGAAACTAAATTCCAAGACCTTCAATTTGGTATATAATATGTCCCAAAAAACCCCATATAGAACACGAAAGTTATTGCTCAAAAAGCTCCGTTACAAGGCATATCCTTAGTCGGTTTTTCTGCAACTTAAATCCGACTTTTTCCAAACTTTATATTTTCTGTCCAAACATCATATATAGTTATATTATGACTTTAAACTTATTTTAATCATGATTAACAATCTCATATTCATTATACGTCACCTTGGGACACACAGGGTTTAACAATCTTCCCCCCTTAGAAATATTGGTCCTTGAATGTTAAACTCCCAGAGATCTATAGAAATTCTGGCAGAGTCTCCTCTGTAAAGGTACCGCTACCTACCTGTCAGATAGAAAACTCAACAATACAAAGCCACATAGGGCCACAATCATCAATAACACCAATGGCCTCACACGACCAATGCCAATAACTAACATAAGAATCAAGTACCATATACGTACCTGGCTGTGATGTCTCAATCTGATCCTCCTCCAGAAGAAGAAACAAGTGAGGATACCTAGACTTCATATCTTCTTCAGCTTCCCAAGTCATCTCCTGTACATTCTTATTCCTCTAAAGATACGTCTTTAGTTCTTAATCTCCGAACCTGTCTATCTAGAATAGCAATGGGAGCTTCCTCATATGATATCTGCTCTGTGACCTGAACATCGTCAACTGGAATGAATCTAGAAGGATCTCCGATACACTTACGGAGCATAGACACATGAAAAAATAGATGTACTGACTCCAAGTTGGAAGGCAAGTCTAACTCATATGCTACCTGGCCTACTCTGCTTATAATCTTATAAGGTCCAATGTACCAAGGGCTAAGCTTTCCTTTCTTACCGAATATTATAACGCCTTTCATCGGTGATACCTTTAGGAATACCCAGTCATCTACCTGAAACACCAAGTCTCGTCGTCGATTATCTGTATAGGACTTCTGACGACTCTGAGCTGCTAATAGCCTTTCTCGTATAAGCTTAATCTTCTCAACTGCCTATTGTACCAACTCTGGTCCTATTAACTTAGTTTCCCCAACTTTGAACCATCCGATAGGTAACCTACACTTCCGTCCGTAACGAGCTTTTTATGGAGCCATCTAAATACTGGAATGATAGCTATTATTATATGCGAACTCAATAAGTGGAAGATGTTCATCCCAGCTACCCCTGAAGTCTATCACACAAGCCCGTAACATATCCTCTAGTGTCTGAATAGTATGCTCAACCTGACCATCTTATGGGGATGGAATGTTGTACTAAGACTTACTTGAGTCCCCAATCCTTTTTGGAAGGACCTCCAGA